AGGTCCCCAATGAGCGGCGCGCAGCCTGCCCCCGGACGACCCGAGCCCGCTGCATCCCGCTTCCCACGGCTCACCTGGGGCCAGGTAACAGGTAAGGGCGCGGTGCCCGAACCCCCTACCCGGGTCCGTTCCGGGCCGAGGCACCGAGCCGGCACGAGGTGGGGGGTGTCTGGGTACCCCTGGCCCGGCGCGGGGAGCAGGCATCTCCCTCGAAGGTGGGAGCCGCCCTGAAGCCCTCCTGGCTCGCTCCTCCGCAGCCCCAGGTCTCAGCCCCCCGGCACCACAGCTTCCTTTCCGAGCCCACAGGGGCAGTGTAGCATTTTTTAACCTCTCCGGCGCCTCCGCCCCTAGGAGAAGGATGAAAGGGTTTTGGGGGGGATCCTGGGGTAGCTGTCCTTGCCGAGAACCGGGTTGGCCCGTCTTCCGAGGACTCCCCAACCCCCACAGCGGGACCTGCTCAGGGATCCCGAGCACCCCTGCCGTGGCAGAGCCTGGATGGCCAGTCTGGCCGGCCGACCTTGGCAAACCCCTTGCCCTCAGTCTCCTGGGTTGGCCAGTGGGCTGGTGCCCCCACCCATCCACCCCGCGCGTACGCCTGGGGGCTCTGAGGGGGGTCGCGAAGCCTTATTTCTGGGCCTCTGTTAAAACAAGGCGCCCCTACCGAGGCCTAGCGTTCATTACCTTTAAGCTGTTCTAACGGGATTCTCCTCCTTCTGCTCCACCCCCCCGAAGATGCGGGACAGGTGCTAAGAGAAGGAGCTAGGAAGGGCCATGTTCGCTCCCCAGCTTGCATCTCCTGCTTAGCCTAGAGTTACCTGAAACAGCCTTCCTGAGTTGCCTCCAGGTGGAGCGGGGTGGACTCAGCAAGGGGGGGTGACAACGGGCCCAGCCTGGTCCCTGCCTCTGGAAACCCCGAGGCACAGCCCCTCACAGGACTGGCCTCGGCTCCCTCTGCCGAGTATTGGGTAGACAGGGACTGGGTGCCGATCACTTTGGGATAGAAGGCTCACCCTGTTGGGTAAGCTTTCTAAGCGCCTCCACCCCAAGGAGAAGGGTGAGAGGGTAAACTGAGGCCGCTTAGGCCTCTCAGGTCCTATAAGACCCTTTTCTTGGGGTCCCTGACTAGCTTGGGCAAGAGCCCATGCAGAGAATGTTGTGCTAGATTCCAATCCTGCCTTCATCCATTCTCTGTTTGTTGCTTAGCTTCCCCAAGCCTCGGCCTCCCCATCTGTAATATGGGGATGGGGACCTCCCAGAGTAGTGGTGAGGATTAGCTGAGATAGGTGTCTCAGGCACTTAGCGTGTTGTCTGGTGCTTGCAACACCCCACAAACAGTGGCTGTTGTGGTTGTGATAATAATCGTGGTTTATTATCTCCGGGCCACTTCCAGACTCCTTTTCTTCAGCTGGAGGTGCCCTACGTGACATGCCCCTGTGTTTTGGGAGGAAAAGCCTTTCGCAGGACTCCCAGTCAGGATGGGCTCACTTGCTAATCCCGTGCTATCCCTTAGCATTTGGGGTCAAGGTGAGCTGACCACCTCCCTGGGCCATGTCAGGCCCCAGGCTCGGCTGCTCTGGCTTTGTGCCACCACCTTATCCCTGTCCCTTGGGCCATATACGTCACCCAAGTGCCCACAGTTTGTCCTCCAGCTCCACCTGGCCCAGCCCGCTGTGACCTCTGAGTTGGGCAGATGGGGAGCTGGGAAGTTTCTCCAAGCCTGCTACTTCCTCGCCCCACAGGCTTGGCAGGGGATCTCCTTCCCTTCCTCCTCCACTCTGTAACTTGAAAAGTAACCACGTGGCCTGTCCCCATCTAGGAGGGTAACCTGACCTGTGTTGGGTTCCACTCTGTGCCCGGAGTAGGGCTCAGCACTTGGGGACAGGGAACCTGGGTGCTACCCTGTTCTGCCCCCCGCTCTCTGGATGGTCCTAGACAAGCCTCACCTCCACCCCCCACCTTTTTGAGCCTCGGTTTCCCCATCTCTAGAGTGATTCAGATAGTCTGCGATGCTAGTGTTCAAAATTTGTTGATTCCATTGAAGATAAACTGTTGGGGCATTTGGGCGGGTGGCTGACAAAACAGGGTTACACCTCTCGGGATGGAGGGGCGTGGGGAAGGACTTCCCCCAGGGACTCGGAGTCAGGGCTGGGAGAGCCAGCAGAACTCCTGGGCTGCCTCCTATCCCACCTCTGACCCCCAGCCCCACTCGGGGGTGGAGGGACCCCTGGTGCCCTCCAGGGGATAGGCAGCAGCTGAGGTGGCTGGCAGCAGCCGGGGCAGTGGCAGTGGCTTGGCCAAGAGGCCTGGGGTGGCACTGGGCCAGGAGTTTCCCTGCCGGCTCTGACTCGAGCTCCCCCACTCACTCCCTGAGGCCTCTGCATTGCAGCAGACAGGCGCTGCACTGGTGGCTCGGGGGCCACAACGGGGCAGAAGCCCAGGCTGGGGGTGTCCAACCCCCTACCCCTCCCTGCCCTTGGTCCCACAGAGCCCTGCTCCCCCTGGGGAGGGACAGCTGCTGACTAAGCAACTATCGTCTCTTGGACAGACTGAGTCTTCCCGGGGGCCTGGGGTGAAGGCAGGGCTCAGGCTGGGGGACAGTCCCAACCCTGCCCTCTCTGCATCTTGGACCCCTCCTCAGCATTGTCGGGGGTCTTGCCTACCCCTGCAGAGATTGTTTTGAAGGATTAGGACTTTAGGGTGGAGAGCACAGATTTTGGAACTCAATGGCCTGGGTTCACATCCCCGCTCTGCTACTTCTGGCTGTGTGACCTGGGGCAGGTCAAGTAACCTCTCTGTGCCTCAGTTTTCTCAACTGTTAAATGGGGATGACGATAGAATCTACCTTATTGGGTTCTTGTGAGGACTGATACACATAAATCACGTAGAATGCCAGGCCCATGTCAACATGAGTATATGTCGTCGTCGTCATCATTGTCATCCTCATCATCCTCACCCTCATCATCATCATCATGGTCATCATCATCGTCATCATCATCATCATCATCATCATCATCATGGTCTCTGCTGCCTGCCTGAGTCCCTCTGACATGGACTCTGTTTTCCTTAGATAAACACTCCCCATTAGCACTTCTTATATGAAACGTGTCGTAGCCTAGTGGTTAAGAGTCCAGATTCCCCGAGCCACACAGCTCTGGGTTCTAATCCTAGCTCTGTTCCTCACCAGCTGTGTGATCTTGGGCAAGTTATTAACGTCTCTGTGCCTTAGTTTCTCTGCCTGCTTAGTGGAGATGATGATAGTGCAGGTCTCACAAAGCTATTGTGAGGATGAAATAAGCCACCACATAATAGTACGTTGTGCAGTCCCTGCCGCATAAGCAGCACTGTGTTACACAAGTGTTTGCTTGTACTAATTAGGCGCCTGCTGTGTGCCAGGCACTCAGTGCAGAGGTCAGGCACTGGGGTCCTTCTGACACTGGTTCAAGTCCTGGCTTGAGCCCTTGTTGACTGAATGATCTGGGGCCAGTGATTTTGCCTCTCTGTGCCTCAGTTTCCCCTATTGTAAAATGGGAATGCGAGTACACGGGCCTCATAGGGTTGTGTGGGGTTTCGATTACACCAGAGCATGTGGTCTTTTCCCTTGCTTGGAGCAGTGGAGCTGTGGGGTGGGGCTTTCAGGTGCTAGAAGGGCCCCCTTCACAGTCACCACTGTGTCACCCATCCTGTTACTCGATATACCTCCCCTCCACTTAGCAGCTCCAGAGCTTTGCCTACTTTGCAGATGGGACAACAAAGTCTTCAGGAGTGGAAGGGCTAGAACTGAGTCAGGAGGTAGTATTCAGGGGCACACCCCAGCATGGCCCCAACCCCGCCCTGGACAAGCCCTGCTCCCAAACTCAGACCACCAGGCTCACTCTCAGGAGTGTCCCTGTAGGCCCCAGGGTCTCCCAGGCCCTGCACGAGTCCTGAGGAGTGGTAGGATTGGGGAGCTTTGGATGAAGCAGACCTCAAGCCCCAGGGCTGGGAGTGGAGGCTGGCCTGGGCTGGAAGAGAAGATTCTGGAAACTTCCAAACAGGCGCCAAAGTCCCTGGGGGGCTCCTAGGGCCTGCAGTCTCCCCCATTACCTTTCAAATTTCCTCCTGGTCTAAGAGGGTCAAGGTTTATTTGGGGTTGCAGAGACGGGAGGCCTGGTTTGGGAAGGAGGGAAGCAAATGAACGTTTATTGAGCACCCACTGTATACAGGTGATGACAGTCAGGAGCAGTTACTGTGTGTGCCAGACCGTGTGCCCAGAACTTCGCAGACGATCCCTCACGGAGCCTCACGCTGGCGTTTTACAGGCGAGGAAACAGGCTGACAGAAAGTAGCAGCAGTAGTTGTTGTAATAAAACTAGAGAGCGCTTAGCGAACTCTTGTGCTTATCTCAACTTCATCCGACAGACCTGTCCCCTGTCCCCTAACCTCTGACCCAGTGGGGCCACCTCGCCTTCCTCAGACACGCAGGGCCCACTCCTGCCTCAGGGATCTGGCATTGTCTGTTCTGCCCTTTGAAAATGCTTTCCCCCCAGATAATCCACGTAGCGGGCTCACTCGCCTCCCAAGTCTTGCTCGGATTTTACTTCCATAGTGAGGTCTTCCCTGGCTCCTCTGTCTAAAATTGTGCTCACCCACATCTCCTTCACCCTGCTCCTGGGCACTGTTCCCCCGTAGCACGTATGTCTTAACAGACAGCGGCGTTTCCTTTTTTATCATCCATCTCCACCAGGAATATGTTAGCCTGCAAGCAGGGATCTATGTTATTCTTGTTCATTGTTAAATCCCCAACACAAAGAACAGAGTCTGCACACAGCAGGCGCTCCATCGATAATTCTGGAATGGATGGAATCTTCACCACCCCCTTGTGAGCACTGCTCTCATTATTGCCATTACACAGATGAGGAAACTGAGGCTCAGAGATGTCAAGTGACTTGCTCAGAGTCACACAGCCTGTACCCCTACGCTGACGCTTGCTCCAACCCCCACAGGTCTGACCCCGTCCCACGGACGATGGCCCTGCCCGCCCTGAGCTAGAGCCCACCCCTCGGCGCCTGCCTGTCCCCCGCTGGCAGGATGCGACTGTGGAAGGCAGTGGTGGTCACCCTGGCCTTCATGAGCATGGACGTTGGCGTGACCACGGCCATCTACGTCCTCAGCCACCTGGACCGCAGCCTGCTGGAGGACATCCGTGACTTCAATGTCTTTGACTCTGTGCTGGACCTCTGGGCAGCCTGCCTCTACCGCAGCTGTCTGCTGCTGGGGGCCACCATCGGCGTGGCCAAGAACAGCGCCCTGGGCCCCCAGCGGCTGCGGGCCTCATGGCCGGTCATCACCCTCGTGTGCCTCGGTGTGGGCATCTACACCATGGTCAAGCTGCTGCTCTTCTCCGAGGTGCGCAGGCCCATCCAGGACCCGTGGTTCTGGGCCCTCTTCGTGTGGACCTACGTCTCCCTCGCCGCCTCCTTCCTGCTCTGGTGGCTGCTGTCCACGGTGCGGCCGGACGCCGAGGCCCCAGAGCCAGGGGCGGGCGTGGGGGCTGAGGCCGAGGGCTTGGCCGAGCAGGCGTCTGGGGCCACGCTGCAGAAGCTGCTGTCCTACACCAAGCCCGACATGGCCTTCCTCGTGGCTGCCTCCTTCTTCCTCATTGTGGCGGCACTAGGTAAGTGAGGGCCTGGAAATCAGGTCCCGTGAACGGGACCACCTCTTTCTCCCTCTTACATTTTTAACATTCTGCTTCCGTGATTCAGACATCAAATTGATGTGCAAAGGTAAACGTTGGAAGTTTCGCCCCTAGTTCTGTCCCTGAATACCCCGATCACTCGCCCGGGGCTTTGTTGTTGTGTGCCATTGAGTGAATTCTGACTCATAGCCACCCCAAGTGACAGATTACAACGGCCCGATAGGGTCTTCTTGGCTGTAACCTTTATGGGAGCAGATTACCAGGTCTTTTCTCCTGTGGAGCAGTTGGTGGGTTCAAACCGCTGACCGTTCATTTAGCAGTGGAGCACTTAGGTTAGCTAGAGGAAAGTTTCTGGAAACCTCCAAGCAGGCAGGAAACCACTTTTATTTATTTCCTAGTATCTTTGTGCAGCTACAAGCGAATAAGAACATCTGTTCCTTCCCCTTCCTCTTACACGTACTCTACTCTGTTTTGAGTCTTGCTTTCTTAACATGTTCTGGGGTTTTTCCCAGTTGGCGCTTCATTCCTTTACACAGCTGTGTAGTCTTCCATGGTGTGGATAGCCATAGCGTATCTAGTTGGTCTTCTGTTGATGGACTCTTGGGTTGTTCTTGGGTAGTTTTTAGTCTTCTTTCTCTTACGTTGAATAACCTTGTCTGTAATATTTTATAAGGAGCCCTGGTGGCACAACGGTTAAGTGCTGGGCTGCTAACCAAAAGGTTGGCAGTTAGAACGCAACTGGCAGCTCTGTGGGAGAAAGACCTGGTGATCTGCTTCCATAAAGATTCCAGCCTAAGGAACATTTTGATCAAAGATTCTGTAAAAGAATCCTGATCAAAAGGGGGAAAATGCAGAACAGAATTTCACATTCTCATGGTATCCAGACTTTCTGGATCCATGGGGGCTGGATGAACCCCCAAAACTATTGCCCTGAGATAATCTTTAAACTTTAAACCAAAATATCTCCTGAAGTGTTCTTAAAACCGAACAGTAGTTTACCTTAACTAGTAAAGAATGTCTGTGTTGAGCGTTGTGCTTTTTTAAGATCTTTCTATATGGGATCAAATTGACAGCAGCAACTGGAAAGATTAGATAGGAACTTCAGGGGGCAGTGAGTTTATGTTAATGGGGGAAGAACAACTCGGAAACGGGGAGTAAAAATGATTGTACAACTTGAACAGTGTAATCTATGTCACTGAAATGTACATGTAGAAACGAACTGGTGTGTGTTTTGGCTGTGTATATTCTCAACAACAACAAATATTTTTTTAAAAAAGATCACAGTCTAGGAAACCCTATGGGGCGTTTCCAGTCTGTCACATGGGGTTGCTATGAGTCTCAATCGACTCGACAGTACCTAACAACATACACGTGTCATACGATATACATGTATCTGGAGAACAAACTTCTGGAGGTGGGACCGCTGGGTGAAAAGCGTTTTTTTGCAATGAACTAGACTAGAATAGAAAGCACCAGAGTATATTGCCTGGGGTAAGGTTAAGTATTGTCTCACAAAACTTTTATTTTCGTTATGTATGCACGGGTACAAGTGTGTTCTGTCTCGTGACATAAAATGTATTTGTCCCTGTGGGTCTAGTCCAAACGGTTTGAAAGCCCCACTCCAGCAATATGGATGGGAAGGAAACTCCACGGGTTCCTGGGTTCAAATCCCAGGTCCTGCTCCTTCCCCAGCTGTGTGGCCTTGACCAAGTTCTCCAACCTTCCCGACCCTTGGTTTCCTCTTCTGTGAAACGGAGCTTGCTAGAGTTCTTGTTCTGTAGCGTAGTAAAGCGTGAATAAAATCAGATAGGAGAAGGATTAAGGATAGACTTTGGCATGCCATGGTAAGTACTCAGGGACGTTAGCTGTTAGGAGTTTGTAAATTCTTTACTTGCAGGGACAGAGGCTTGGGGTAGTTACAAAGCTAGAATGTTCTCAAAGAGCTCGAGTGAACGCCAGGGCTGGCCCTGGGCCTGCAGCCCCTTCCCTCTCATTACCCCCCTCCACCCCTAAGTCCTGGCCCCTTAACGGCTGTGTGGTTTGGGGCAAGTTACTTAACCTCTCTACGTCTCAATCTCCTTGTCTCTAAAATGGGCATAATAACAGTACCCATCGCTTTGGGTGGTTGTGAGGCTGAGTGAGCTAATATGAGTATGACACCTCAAACAGCTCCAGCACAAAGGAAGTTCCTAATAAGTATCAGTGGCTGTGAGTGTTGGAGGAGCCCTGGTGGCACAGTAGTTAAAGCACTTGGCTGCTAACCAAAAGGTCAGCAGTTTGAACCTACCAGCCATAAAGATTTTACAGTCTTGGAAACCCCATGGAGCAGTTCTGCTCTGTCTTATCAGGTCGCTATGAGTTGGAATCGACTTGATGACAGTGGGGTTGGTTTTCTGGTTTGGTGAGTATTGGGAAGACCCCTTCCTTTTAACCAGTTTCTCCTACTCTGCTTCAAGGCCCAAGGGACCCTCTCCTTGGGGACGCCTTCTCAGATATAGCAACTGTGGCCCTTTGTCTGCCTCTCAGCTATAGCACAGATAACATGAAAATCACCCATCCACCCTCCAGCCTCCTCTACCAGGGGCAGGGACCAGGCCTGACTCGCCCTAGCCTCCCACATCCAGCCCAGAGCAGGCTTGCTGCCTGAGTGAATGGCCGTGCTGCCTATGAGGCCACACATCACCTCCTGACCTCATTTCCCCTGCCTGCTCAGGCCCTGTGGTCACTTGGTATATGCCCAGGAAGTTCCGACATCCTAAAATACCACCAACTTCCCAGCCTGCAGGAGTGCAGCAAGGTTGAGGGACTGTACTTGAGGCTTGGGCCCCCGATGTTACTGATGACGTTCGGCTGATTACCTAACCTGGCCAAGACTCAGTTTCCCATCCTGTGAAATGGGGGCTCCGTCAGGTTGTTGTGAGAATTAAACGAAACGAAGTATGGCTCCTGGCAAAACTAAGTGCCTAATAAACATTAGACATTGTGACTGTTAATCGTTATTTTCCGATAACCAGGCATCCAGTAGGACCCAGGAGTTCCTGTACCCTCATAATCTAAAAGAAAACTGCCATTGGGAAAAAAAGGTTACAATTTTAATGTTGAGTATCTCCTGGTAAATTGTATTGCCGTTAGTTGCCATCCAGTCGGCGCTGACTCACGGTGACCCCATGGACAACAGAACAGAACGTTGCTTGGTCCTGTGCCATCGTCACAATTGTTGGTGTGCGCTAGTCCGTTGTTGTGGCCTCTGTGTATTTTGAGTGCCTTCCAACCTAGGCTGCTCATCTTCCAGCACTATACTGGACAGTGCTCTGTTATGATGTGTAAGGTTTTCATTGGCCAATTTTCAGAAGTAGGTTGCCAGGCCTTTCTTCCTAGTCTGTCTTAGTTCACCATAGGTGAACCTGCTAGTATTTGAAATACCAGTGGCGTAGCTGCCAGCATTATAGCTGAAATAGCATAATATCCTATTAAATTGAGATACTTTAATATGGATTTCATGGCAACCCAACTGCATAAACTTAGGCAAGTTACTTAACCTAAAGCCTCAGTTTTCTCACCTGGAAAATGGGGAGAGTAATAATACCAAACCAATAGGGTTACTGGGTGGCAGTTGAGACTTGAAGGAGGTGAGGGAGCAGGTATCTGTGGGATGAGCCCACCAAGCAGAGGGAACGTCCGTGCAAGGGTCCTGAGGCAGGAAGGTGCCTGGCTGTTAAAGGAGCAGCAAGGAGGCCCATGTGGCTGGGGCAGCATGAGTGAGGGGGCAGAGAAGGAGCTGAAGTTAGATTGGTCACGGAAGCCCAATCCTGCAGGGCGTCGGGAGCCGCTGACTTGTACGCTGGATCAGATGGGGGCCGTTTTTTGAGCTACAGCGTGATGAGACGTGACTTAAGTTTACCAGGATCATGCAGTCTGCTGTGTGGAGGACAGGCTGATCGGGGGGACAAGGCGGCAGCAGGGAGAACCCGGAGTTGGCCGTGGAGATGGTCCAAGTGAGACTGGCTACTTGGACCAGGGTGGGGGCAGTGGAAGCCGTGAAAACGGTTGGCTTCTGGAAATATTTGCAAGGTGGAGCCGCAGGATTTGCTGACAGATTGGGTATTTTCACATGGTTCTTGTGCAGATTCGACAAGAGAGTTTGCATAACCTGCCTAGCACAGCGCCCAGCACCCAGTAAGGGCTGGTTATCTCATCGTCGGTGCTTGCTGGGAATCAGATTGATGCCCCTTTCTTCCCTGTGGGTAAGCTCAGGCAGGACTTCAGCTAGGGTAGAACTGAGCAGCATGGCCAGAGACCTCATCTAACCAAGGACCCTGGGGACGAAGGCCCTCCAGGCTGCCACCTAGTGGCTCCAGTGCCAAGTGCCAGCAGAGGGCACCAGTGCCCCATGAAACGCCTTACCGTAGGGCGGGGCTGAGCAGATCAGGCAGAGCTGGCCGGGGTTCACTCACTGATCTTTATTGAGTACCTACTGTATGCCCAGTGCAGAGCTAGACTCCACCTGTGGGAAGAACTATCATGAGAACAGGTTCTGGAGCAAATGGGGAACACACCCTAGTGTGACTGCTTTCCATATTCCATGTCCACCATTTCCCTAAGGTGAGAGTTGGCACATTCTGGATTGTTGGGAGGGAGGGGACAAGGAAAGAGCCCCCACATTGGAAGCTGGTGTGTGTTTGAGTCTCGGCCCTGCCCCTCACTTGCTGTGTGACCTTGGGCATATTGCTTGGCCTCTCTGATCTCCCATTCCACCCCTGCAAAACGTGAGGGACAATCCCCACTTAACCGACCTCCCCAGGATTGTTGCGAAGGTACAATGAGACAAACAGGTGAGAAATCACCTGGAAGACGGTGAAGTGCCCAACCTGGAGGGCATGTGCGATTCTGGCATTCCTTGGCTTCCACTCTGAGGTTCTAGAATTTGGACTTTGAACCCCCCGCCAACAAGAAGAGTGACGTCATCTCTGGCCACAGCTGCCAGGCCGTGTGGCCTGAGAAGCTCACCCCACCTTCTCAGCCCCTCTCTCCTCACCTGTAAGGTGGGGGCATGCAGGCCGACTGCCGGATGTGGGCATGAAGCAGGTAAGCCATGGTGCGCGAAGCCCTTCCTTAGCTCTGTGCATACAGTGCCTGGTGCCGTTACCAGTAAGAAAGCCCAGTCTGTTTGGATGCAGGACCCAGTGATTCCTGTGTTCCTGTTCTCAGAAAAGAAGGGAGCATTAAAAAAATAATTAAAAATTCTTTTTAAAAAGAGGGGGCTGTTGAGCAGTAGGGGCCCCCCACCATGGTGAGAAGCAGGAGTTGGCCAAGAGAAAACATCCATCGGTCACTTTCCGGAGGTGCTGACCTCCCCACGCAAACGTGCCTCTCGCAAAGGATCCCTGAAGCCCTCTGCAGAGGAGAAGGGAGCCCAAGAAGAGGGACGGGCACAGAGCCATCCGTAATCCAGCTTCATGGCTGTGAAAGGCCCAGGCTGCCGCATTGTCGGCCGCCAGCCCACCGGAGGAGAAGCAGGGCTTCCAGAAGGATGCCCGTCAGACAGAAGCAGCACTAGAAGCAACCTGAATCAAGATGAGTGGAAACCATCCCAATAAACGTATTTTGGATACCAAAAAAATCCCACGAGTGGAGTGAGCAGAGGGGTGAGGTGTTGCTTCCTGAGCCCCTGGAGGAAGGGGCCAGGCTCCCCGGCTGCAGATGCCCCCTGACCCCGCCGTCTCTTGCAGGTGAGACCTTCCTGCCATACTACACGGGCCGGGCCATTGACGGCATCGTCATCCAGAAGAGCATGGAGCAGTTCAGCACGGCTGTCATCATCTTGTGTCTGCTGGCCATTGGCAGGTAGCAGCTCGCAGCCCCCTGCCCTGCTCCATGGCGGGGGCGGTGAGGGGGCCAGCTCCTAAGGAGAATGGGCCAAGGAGGCCCGAGAAACGCCCCCGGCGGGCCTGTCCCTCAGCCCATCACTGTGGCAGCCAGCTCCCAAACCAGCTCAGGACCCAGTCCATTTGGTGGGGCCGAGCCCGAGAGCCCGGGCCCAGCAGCCAAGCTTCTTGTCCCTATAAATGGCTTATCCTCGAGGGCCCCCCAGGGCTGTTTCACGAGCAGGCATCTGGGCCTGCAGCAAGGATGGGCCTTGGCTGTGCAGTTCTTCTGGAAGGGAGAGGGGTCTGGCTGGCTGATTTGGGTCACTGGGTCACTCCCAGTGGGTCACACCCTTCCCGGCTCACACTGCCCCTTCACCCTCACCGCGGGGGCTCCAACTGGGATGGAGGGACACTCTGCGGAGGCACCCGCCCTGGAGAGGGGCTCACGGCCGGGTCCCCCGCCCCAGCCTCTGCTCCATGAGGGCCCCTCCGGCTGGCACGTGAGGGGCACCGGGTTGTGGTGGCCAGTTGTCGGAAGGACGTTGTGCTTTAACATCTCTTATCTGCAATTAGCTCATTTGCCGCAGGTATTCGGGGCGGCATTTTTACCCTCGTATTTGCCAGACTGAACATTCGCCTCCGGAACTGCCTCTTCCGCTCGCTAGTGTCCCAGGAGACGAGCTTCTTTGACGAGAATCGCACAGGTGGGTCCTCGTGGGGGCCTGGGGTGACCCGGGATCAGGGAGCAAGTAAATGGAGGTATGCGCAACCTCCACCCTCCCGGCTCTTCCTCCCGGAGGCTGGTTTTGGTCACTGGCTGTGCCTGAGCCCTAGGAGCTGGATTAGGTTGAGCGGTGGCCACCGTAGGACCCTGGCCAGGCCGCCCAAGGTCCCTGCAGGGGCCAACGCCCTGCCCTGCAGCCCTCTAGGAACCACAGGGGCCAGGACTTCTAAGCCTGTAGCCTCAGACCCCCGGCTCTGCAAGGCGAGGGCGGGTGTGTCAGGCAGGTCGAGTCTCCAGCCAAGATCCCAGGCCCTGAGATGCGTCAGCCTGGTTTGGAGCCCTCGCTCCCCAACTCACGAACTTCATCTCTCTGAGCCTCTCTCTTCTCATCTGCAAAACGGGAACAACAATAGCAGCCCCCTCCTGGGATTGTTGTGATGCTCTCAGCTCTGGGCACTGGGTGGCTGTGATTGTTTTTCTCTGTGAGGGGAGAGGAGACGCAGAGCCTAGACCTGGGTATGCATTCTGGCTCTGTCACAGCTGAGCCGCTTCCCCTTTCTGAGCCTCAGCTTCCTCCTCTGTAAAGTGGGGCATGGTGAGGCTTAAATAGGATGCTGGTTGACAAGGGCTGGGCTCGGAGTAGCCCTTGATAGGTGTCTGTTCTTTTCTCCTCCCCCGCCCGGCCCCGAAGGTGAGGGAGGTCTGAGCCCCCAGGTGTCTGTGTTCCAGGGGACCTCATCTCCCGCCTCACCTCGGACACCACCATGGTCAGCGACCTGGTCTCTCAGAATATCAACATCTTCCTGCGGAACACAGTCAAGGTCACGGGCGTGGTGGCCTTCATGTTCAGCCTCTCCTGGCAGCTCTCCTTGGTCACCTTCATGGGCTTCCCCATCATCATGATGGTGTCCGACGTCTACGGCAAGTACTACAAGGTAGGCCCGCCTGGCCTCCGCGGGGTCTGCGGGCGCAGGGCCTCCTGAGCGCCCCTGAGAAGGGATTGAGGGTCCGCAGAGGGTAGCGAAGGACACGTCTTGAGCTGTCTTAGCAGCCTGCATTCATGCATTCCGTAACCATTTACTGAGAGCCACCATGTCCCAGGCACTGGGCTGCATCAGTGAAGCAGACAAGGCCCTTGCCCTCGGGGAGCTCGTATCCTACTGGGACAAACAGACAATAAGTCACAACAACAGCAACAGTGTAATTACAGTACTTACTGTCTCTAAAGTCCCGCAAACACTGAATTAGCGAGTAGCAAACCAGCCTTCTCGGACCTTGGCTGGGGATTTTTTGCTACTCTGTGCCTGCATGTGTTTGCAAAGGGCCGCAAAAAAGCCTTTTCAGCAAACAGGCAAATTCGTGAATGCGGAACCCACTAACAGTGAAGATGTTGCTGGGTGCCATGGCATCGATTCCAACTCCTTGTGACCCTATGTGACAGAGTAGAGCTGCCCAGTAGGGTTTCCTAGGGTGAAGTCTTTACAGGAGCAGATCGCCAGGTCTTTTCTTCCTTGGAGCGGCTGGTGGGTTCAAACCACTGACTTTAGAAGCTGAGTGCTTAACCATTGTACCACCACGGCTCGTTTAATAAGGAAAGACCAGTGCATAATACAGTGAAAGATGACAAGGGCTCAGGAGAACAATGACGTGAGGAACAGAGGCTGGGCGTGTTGCGATGAGTGGTTGCAGTTTTAAATAGATCTTTTTGGAAGGTGACATTTGCCTAAACACCTGAAGGAGGTGGATGTCTGGGGAAGCAAGTTCCCGGCAGCGGGAACAGCCCGTGCAAAGGCCCCGGGGTGGAAGCATGCTAGCGTGACTGATACACAGGAGGAGGCCAGTGAGGCTGGAGCAGAGTAGGGGGGATGGGGGTAGGAGATGAGGTCTGGGGACCGAGGGGCACATGCTGGAGGTCTTTGCGAGGACTTTAGGACTTATATTTTTACTCCCAGCGCACACGTGCTCTCTTGTCCTGTAGACTGTGTGTCCGTGTGGGGGTGGCTCCGGCCGCTGTGAATGAGGCCCCACCATGGTGCAGTATGGTTGGGCTGCAGTCGTCTCTAGCCACCCCCAGGCACTGTCTCTGCCGGGAGGGTGGGGCCCAAGAGCCAGGCTGCTGTCTCACCCTTTTCCTCCCAGGTTGGCGGGTGCCCTTGAGCCCTAGGGAACCAAGGCCGGGTCCGGACAGGCAGGTCTGTGGCCCCGTGACAGGGACAGGCAGCCCCTTCCCCAGTGATCCAGGCCTACTGGGTGGGTGGGGGGGACTCGTGAGCAGGAGGCTTTGGCAGGAGATCAGCTGCTGGCGGTGCAGAGTAGATTGGCGCCCCCCGGTATGCCAGGTCCCTTGGTGCCTCTAATCTGAGACTCGTGAAGAGGGAGGAAAGGGCCATCTCTCACCTAGTCCAAGAGTGAACCCACTCTCCATAACCCACTGTGTGGCCTTCCCCAGCCATGCAGGAGGGGCCTCTCCCCGCACTGCGGGGCCGCGGGTTTCCTCGCTGAGTAGAAAAAGTAAATATATCCCTTGGAGTCCGAGCCCTGTTTACTTTCCTCTGCCCTGCCCCACCCTTCCTGCCTGCCTTCCTGCCAGCCCCAGGGCCCGGGACAGGGAGTCCAGGAGACCTGTCACCCCCCACCTCTGTACACACCTCAGACCCTGCCTTCAGGATCAGCTGGGTGGAGCCTCAAGGAAGGTCTATCTGTGTTTTTCACCCCTACCTGGGTGGGTTGAGTCATGGCCACAAGGCACACACACTGCCTACGCCAGACATGAGTCAGGGCACGGCCTGGCTCCTCGTGGTATGCGGGACACACGGCACGCTTCTGATGGCCTGGGCGTGACGCGCTCTCATGGGATGCACCTGTGCATGCCCCATCTGGCCGCGGGCAGCCTTCCCAGCTGGTGTGAGAGCCTGAGTGTGTTAACTATCAGGGCTCTGCCCAGGGCCCACTTCCAGAACCCTGGTGGGCACACACTTGGGACCACTTCTTAGCTGAATACTCCTGGTTATACACACTTAGTGCCAGCCAGTTTCTGCCACCATCCAGAAGTTGGCTGGGAGTTCTGGAATCTCCATACCAACCCTTAGGCTGTCATATAATTTAGTGTATGTTGATGCTAGATATGGCGCCCCCTTAGTATTTGGCATTCCTTGTACAGTGTGCAACCTGAACACCTGTACAGGGCATCCCTGCTCTCACACCTGCACAGGCTCAGGTATAAAGTCTCTTCTGAGGTAATTACTGGAAACTTTATGTGCGTGAATAGCCTGCTTTGAGTACCAGAGGTGGCTTGGTGATCAGCCCTTCTCTCAGGAGCTGGAGCTGTCACTCCCCAGGACCCAGCGAGAATCCACACTCTGAGTGTGTGTGATGGAACTAGAAGGAGATTGGGAGGGGAAAGAAAATCTGGGTCTTGTCCTTTAGTCCCTGGGTCTCCCTGCCTACAGCTGGCACCAACTAAGGGTGGAAAAGCCCAGAGAGGCCCAGGGGCCCAGGCAGATGGAGAAGCTGTTTGTTCTGGGCTCTCCTGCCCCATCCCTCCCCCCGCTCACAGAGGCTGTCCAAGGAGGTCCAGAGTGCCCTGGCCCGGGCCAGCAGCACCGCCGAGGAGACCATCAGTGCCATGAAGACCGTCCGGAGCTTCGCCAACGAGGAGGAGGAGGCCGAGGTGTACTCACGCAAGCTGCAGCAGGTGTACAACCTCAACAGGAAGGAGGCGGCCGCCTACACCTACTACGTCTGGGGCAGCGGAGTACGTCTGGGGCAGCAGGGGACGTCTAGGGCAGCGGGGGACATCTGGGGCAGCAGGGGATGTCTAGGGCAGCGGGGGACATCTGGGGCAGCAGGGGACGTCTAGGGCAGGGGGGGATGTCTGGGGCAGCGGGGGATGTCTGGGGCAGCGGGGGACGTCTGGGGCAGCGGGGGACGTCTGGGGCAGCGGGGGACGTCTAGGGCAGCAGGGGACGTCTGGGGCAGCAGGGGACGTCTGGGGCAGCGGGGGACATCTGGGGCAGCAGGGTACATGCCTCGGCCTGGGACGGGCTGCCAAGATGGGGATCCCTTCATGTGGGACACCAGCCCAGGTCCCTGCGTGTGGGTGTCCAGCTGGCTGCCCTGGACCTCATTTGGCCCCAGCTTCCTGCTCATTCAAGGTGAGTCTTTCTGAAAGAGAATTCCCTCCCAGGCGGCCTCCTCTTCCCCTCGTCTGGGGTGGCGTGCGGGGTGGGAGCTCCTTCCCAGCTGGGGAAGTGTCCCTGCCAAGTGGGGAGGGCCGGCTTTTCAGATCCTGGTAGGTCCCGAGTCACAGCCACACCCCACTAGAGCATCCAGCTGGCTCTCTGGAGGAGAGCCACAGCCCCTCCTTGGAGAACAGAGGGCCTCCGAGCTTGGCACTGTCCCACCGGCCACGCCTGCAAATGGGATCCTGGGAAGAGCTGGGGTAGGGGTGGGGAGGGTTTGGAGTTTAGGGGAGGAAGGAGCTGGCGGTCTGCATGGGAACCAGGGCGCTGGGATCTCTGAGTCCCCCTGGGACAGGCTACCCCCAAAGTACCCAGCCAAGGAGGAGAAGGGGGAGGAAATCCAGCTCCAATAGCCAAGCCTTTCACCATCCATCCCCTGGGAGGGGGACCTTTGGTAGTGTGCAGGGAGTCACGTGTGGTCTGGTTCTGATCCCGCATCGGGGGGCTGTGCTTGGGGAGGGGCCAACAGGGACCTGAGCAAGTGGCCGTGGGTCCGGAGATTGTGCGCCCCTCCCAGGTACTGCGCCAGACAGAGGCAGGATGCCCAAGACAGCCCCTCCCTCACGGAACTTTGTCCTCCTGCCCTGCTGTGTGACCTTAGACAGTGCCCTCGACCTCTCTGAGTCTCCCTTTTCTCAGCTCAGGGGGAGGAATAATAGCTCCGGCTTGGTCTAGCTCAGGAGCTGAGAGTGGTGTGCGTGAGCCAGGGCCTGACAAAGAAAGCCTTGTTTTCCAGCCTGGCCCACAGCCTGTTCCAGCTGGGGGCCCTTGTAGGAAAATGCTCCAGGATGGGGGCAGTGAGGGGCAGACAGGCACGTGGGAGGGCGTCCCCCCAGGTTTCACTGTGTGGGTGGGGGCTGCAGCCCCTGCTGCTCTGACCTCCGCCTGCAGTCAGGTGGGGCAAGGGGCTGGGCAGGGAGCCCTGGCCGGTAACCCCTGCCCGTTCCCTCTGCCCCCAGCTGACGCTGCTCGTGGTCCAGGTCAGCATTCTCTACTACGGGGGCCACCTCGTCATCTCGGGGCAGATGACCAGCGGCAACCTCATCTCCTTCATCATCTACGAGTTTGTCCTGGGAGACTGTATGGAGGTGAGGGGGCCAACTTGGGGAGGAGGGGGGTGTCTGAGCAGGGCGGGGGTGCTCCAGGGAGGGCCGAGGGAGGCGACATTTCTCTCTCAGGTAGGAAGGGGAGAGAACAGTCATCGTACCAAGAACGACAGTGATACTGACGAGTAACAGCAGCTCCTTTTCTCAAGCAGAGGGCCAGTGACAAAAGTTATTTCAGGAAATGCTCATAAAAACTCTGTGACAAGTCTGAGTGCTGTTGAGATTCCTATTTCTCAGAAAAGGAAGCTGAGGCTCAGAGGTGGAGTGACTGCCTACGAAATCATGTAGAGGAACTGGGTTCAAAGCCAAATGCATCCGACTTTACTGTAACCCACTGAAAGAGTTTGTTGTTGTTAGGTGCTGGGTCAATTTTCGACTTATAGTGACCCCTTGTGACAGAGTAGAACTGTCACAGAGGGTTTTCTAGGCTGAAATCTTTACGGGAGCAGATTGCCAGGTCTTTTCTCAGGCAGAGCCACTGGGTGAGTTCGAACCACCAACCTTTTGGTTAGCTGTTGAGCACTTGGCTGTTGCGCCACCAGGGCTTCTTTACTGGAGGAGTAGCACCACGGAAAAAGCAAGGGTTGTTGTAGATTATGTCTTTGTTTGGGGCCCCCCAAAAGCAGATGCTGAGATAGGAGTCAGGTGCAGCTGATTCAGTTGAGAGGTGACCCCAGGAAACACGGGTCGGGGGTGAAGGGAAGGACATCAACACGGGTGCATTTCTGAGCCTGGTACCACTGTGGGAACCTCAGGGGACAGAGTGGAGCACACACCTCTGAGCCGTTCACCTGAGGACTGGAGGGCTCACACATCAGCCACAACAGTCACTGTTCGAGCTTAGCTTGGAGTTGGGGTGTTGATTCTCTGGTCAGCGCCCACGCCAACCCTTCAGGCCTTTGGAGGTTGGGCCTTTGTGCACTGTGGAGTTGATTCCGACTGATAGCGACCCTATAGGGCAGAGTAGAACTGCCCCATAGGGTTTCCAAGGCTGTAAATCTCTACGGAAGCAGACTGCCCCATCTTTCCCCCGCGGAACAGCCGGTGGGTTCTAACCTCTGACCTTTCGATTGGGAGCCGAGAGCTTTAACCACTACGCCACCGGGGCTCATTGCTTCAGAGTCACAGTGCAGCCTTATTTGACCCAGCGATTCTGCCTCTAGGGATCCATGCTTCAGAAATCCTGTTGTAGAGAAAAACTTGAATGCCATTTCAAGGTAAAACAGAGAGGTTTGTTAAGGGTTTCAGACAATTGCAACTGGGGAGCGGTGTAGCCCATAGAAGAGGGAACCAGGTAGTCTCAGGGCAGTTTCATCACATGAGTATTCTTCTGGGGTAGAAAGAGGAACCAAACCATGGGGTGGGGGGCAATTACAGGAAAATCAGTGGATAGTGTAATAATCACTCTCTGATTGGTTACTGATTATTGATAGTGCAATTAGTGATTACAGATAGTTTCACAGGATGCTACGTCACGGTCACAAGATGCTTAAGTGTATTTTCTTTGTCTATTTTGCAAAAATGTCTCGTTGGCAACGGCACCCAGACAACCCTCTTCCTGAGTCCGTGTATTTTTCAGGGGTGCAGATGGTCACTTGGTCAAGACCCCTCGGGGCACGTGGTTTCACATCCTGGTTTTGACTGCCCAGGAAAAACATGCTTTTCTCAAAAACATAGCTGTTAGTCTAGAATCAAGATTAAAATTAGATAGCGTGGTCAGCAGAGTATGCCCCTGTCTCACGGCCTGCACTCACTGAGGGCTGTCTTCCCCCGATACAAGCCTAACTCAAGCGGCCAAGGTGCACGTGCAGGGATGTTCAGGACAGCATTGTTCACAATAGGGACACATTCAAACAAGTTTAGATGCCCACTGGTCAGGGATCGGGATCGGATACATTTGGTACGTCCATATTCCAGATGTAGAATATCTACTGTGAAATACTGGGCAGGAGTTCAAAGGACGAGACGGAGCTGTGTGAGCCGGGGTTAGGGTTAGGGTTAGGGTTCAGGGAGCATGAAGGGCAACTTGTAGACAATTCTTAGATCTTAGTGTTAATAATGTGAATATTAATAATGATATCTTTTTTTCACTCTGAAAAAGCTGCCTTAGTTTATTAATTTTTTCTTTGTTTTATTGTGTTCTAGGTGAAAGTTTACAGCGCAAATTAGTTTCTCATTCAAAACTTTGTACACAAATTGTTGTGTGACATTGGTGGCAATCCCCGCAGTGTGTCAGCACTCTCCCCCTTTGCCTTTTCTCCTCGGTTTCCCCGTGTCCATTTGTCCAGGTTTCCTGTCCTTTCCTGCCTTCTTGTCTTTGTTTTTGGACAGGTGTAATAATATCCTGATCTTAAGGAACCCTAGTGGCGCAATGGAGCCCTTGTGGCACAGTGGTTAAGAGCTCGGCTGCTACCCAAAAGGTCGGCAGTTGGGATCCACCAGCCGCTCCTTGGCAACCCTATGGGGCAGTCCTGCTCTGTCCTATAGGCTCACCATGAGTTGGAATCGACTCGATGGCAATGGGTTTGGTTTAGTGGCACAATGGTTAAGCACTTGGCTTATAACCGAAGGTTGGTGGTTCAAACCTACCAGCTGCTCCATGGGAGAAAGATGTGGCAGTCTGCTTCCATAAAGATTACAGACTTGGAAACCCTATGGGGCAGTTCTACTCAGTTCTGTAGGTTTGCTGTGAGTTAGAATCAACTCCATAGAACCTAACAACACACCACCTTGATATTAAGGACAACAGTAACAGCTACATGTCTTGAGTGCTTACTGTGTGCCAGACACCATGGTGAGGCTGTGTATGCATTAAACATGTCATCTTCCAAGCGTGGTGACACTGGTACTGATATTGTCATCACTTCACAAATGAGGACCTCAGTCATAGCACGTAAGAGCTTGAACTCAGGAGCCAGGTGGGCCCGGGTTCAAATCCTGGCTCTGCCGTCTCCCAGCTGTGTGATCTGGAGTAAGTTACTTGAGCTCTCTGTGCCTGTTTCCTCATCAGTAACAAGGAGATAATAATAGAACCTACCTCATAACATGTAAAAACCACCAGCTGTCTAGTCGATTCTGACTCATGGCAACCCCATGTGTGTCAGAGTAGAGCTGTGCTCCACTGTGTTTTTAATGGCTGTGAGCTTTCAAAAGTAGATCACCAGGCCTTTCTTCCGAGGCACCTCTGGGTGGCCTCGAACCTCCAACGTTTTGGTTAGCAGCTGGGCACGTTAACCATTTATACCACCTAGGGACTCCACGTAGCATGTAGAAAATTACCCATTGATAGTAGTCATATTCAGATTGTTTGTATTCTTACACTAGGAGATTGTATTTATATATGATATAAATTCGGAACTGTTTTTAAAACTGGAATTAAAAAGTGCTGGGAAAGCTGAAGGGCTGCTGCTCGATGCCTGTTCTGCAACATTCCCGCTGTGGTCGGTATAAGCTCTCTGTTCTTCCGTTTCCTTGTTGGAGTGATCACACCTCCTTTGCTGGGTGCTGTGGAGGATGGTGAGGCGCCGCTCCCAGCGTGCTCTGCCCAACAGCATTATTTGTTTGTTTCTTTTGTTAGTGGTGGTGTTGGGAATATACCCAGTGAAACAGACACCGATTCAACCGTTTCTACACGTGCAATTCAGTGAGGTCGATTAACCAACCATTCTCATCCTCCTTTTCTGAGTTGTTCCTCCCCCATCAACGTAGGGCTCTGCCCTGTGTTATCTAACCTTCTGAGTTGCTGCTGTCAATTTGATCTCATATAGATAATTCTTAAAAGAGCGTAATGCTTAAGGCAGACATTCTTTATTAGTTGAGCTAAGCTATCATTTGGTTTTAAGAAGACTTCAGGGCGTATTTCTGGTTTAAGGTTTAAAGATTATCTCACGGCCATAGTTTTAGGGGTTCATCCAGCCTCCATGGCTGCAGGAAGTCTAGAGTTCATGAGAAGGCATTATTATACTTTATTGCTGTCCTCGTTTGGGGGGTGCCCCCGCAGCCTACCACGCCTCCCCCAAAACCACTGCTCCTTCCTCGTTCTCTCTGCCCCCCGAGGCCACCCCATCTCTCTGCCCCCCCCAGGCCCGCCCCA